CCAACTAAGAAGCCTAAAAATATACATTCTCATCTTATTTGGGCTTCTTTGTACACAGCTCCTGTGCTTGACTACTTCACCTCCATTAATAATTTCCAGGCTAATGCTCATGAGTCCTGAGCCTCAGTTTCCCTGGCATGACAACAAGACTGGCGAGGCCCCTGTGCCCCCTGCATGTGCCCTGAGTGTGTGTGGCTCTAGCAGCACTTGTCACGACGTGTAGTCATCGCCTATTTGCTGGTTCATCCTTCAACCAAGTGTAAGTAAGCTCCCTGAGGGTAAGGATTGCACCTTCTCCCCAGCCTAGAACAGTTCCTGGTCCTTGGAGTTCTCCATAAATATTTGAAAAAGGGATAAAGCCCTAACATACAGGAGACCATCGCTCTCTCCCCCTAGATGAAGCTGCAATAGTGGAAAGTCCAAAATTCCATTTTCATCCCCAAAACTTATTCCCAAACCACCTTCGGAAATGCACTAACTGATTTAAAAATAAAACCTTTGTAGTTCTTTCCTCATTCTGTTTTGTGCAGGCTAATAATAAAGTGAGTTGGCACTTCCTGGGTAATATCAACTAACAGTAGAAGAAGCCTAGCCAAGAATGTGTTAGGTAGTGGGTAAGAATCTGCATGGTATTAAAAATAGGCCATGTGTGAATAATGGAGAATCGAAAGTTACTCAAATGACCAAAATTGGATAGTTATATAATTTTGGTACTGCATAGATAGACAGATAATGTTACCATTACAATCGTAAATATGAAAAGGTTCATTCAAATAATCCCTAAAATTAAAAACTGGAACTCCAACTGAACTCAAACTAGAATAGACAATTTGATTACAAGTACAACATTGTGTATTTGTGCAATGTCATAAAACATATTAATAACAGTAGTCTAAAGGTTAAATTTAAATTTGAGATTTGTTTTCAATTTCTTTTGCTTTTGTTGTGAAATCTGTGAGAAATAATTGCCATGCATTATTTCCAAGGAATGTGTCATAATTGCAACAATACTGAGCCTTTTAATCTAAGGTTACAAAAGGTAATACTTATAATTTGTTGGATGTAATGATGCATTGCATCACTTAATTTAATATATGTATATAACATACATGCCTATTCCTGCATGTTATGTGTGTGTACATGCACATATGAAATCATGCATACTTGCAAGTATGAAATACATGTGTATTCATAGTGCTTGTTAGAGTAGGGAAAATGTTTTCACTTTGTTGTCGCACTTTGTCTCACTATTTCCAGGAATCAGACAGAACAGGAACTAGGGTATTATCTCCTCTTTATCAATTGGCCTTACACACAAACTGAAACTGACTTCTCCAAGGTTGCGTAGTTAGCAAGGGTCAGAGCCAGATCAGAAACCAGGTGTCTCAACCCCAACACAACCTCCCTACCTCTGCCCAGAAACCAGAGCAGGAAAGCCTCAGTGTACTCAGGATCCACAAGTGCTTTGCCTAAAGCGGCTTGCCAGCACCCTGCCCTAGGAGATGCTCAGTAGCATTTATTCAAAGGATTGATAAGATCAGTAGTCGATAGATCCATCACAGTTAGGAATTTAACAAATCACTGCTGATCAGCAAAATTCTTTGGTGCACTCTGGTGTTGGTCTTCATCAGACTGCCATTGCTACTTTAAATTTGTCTCTACCAATATTTCATCCATGTCGTTTTCACTCAGCATCAAATATTAGGCAGCTACTAAGTATAATATAGAGCTGTGTTAGTACTTAAGGAGTTATAAAATAGATTTATTCTTGCCTTCAACATGCTTACAAGTCTACTGGGAGAATAAATTTTTAATTTTAAAAAATGCTGTAATACCTGGCAGAATACGAGGTGAATGAGATGTAACAAAATGTTCAGAGGAGAGAAAAATGGTATTTAGTTGAAAGAATAGAGGCAAATTTCATGGAATGTGGCATTTCGGCACGCACACCTTGAGTGACAGGTACAATTTCACAAGAGGCAATGGGGGAGCGCATTTCATGCAGACGAAGCAAAGCATTTTACCCAGGCACAAGATTTTAAAAAGCTTTCAGAAAAGTGAGGCTCTGGGAACACTGCATGTCTTAGAGAGGGATGTTCCAGCTAAATGTGTTCTCTTTTTTTCCAGTCTCTTTGTCTAACGTGAGATAGACAGGCACTTAGCCATCTCACGCAGACTCGTGCAGGTGCTGGATCTCGGGTTGCAGATATGTAGGATATGCCATAAGGATTTGCCTATTCATTTTTCTCCCTCTGATGAACAAGGTAGGAAGTATTATTAGCTCTGTATTCCAGCAGGGTGTGACAAAGGTGTAGAGAGACTGGAACTTTTCAAGGTCACGGATGAGCCAGCTGGAAGAAACCTAGAACCACGACTGCTCCTCTCCAAAGGAGGCTGTGTGGGCATATCTGTGTGTGGGACAGTGTGTTCCACCCGATGCCTCTGTAGCCACATGGGACTTTACTGGGGAGCTTTGCGATATTTTATATTTCATGAATTCCGGCCCCACTGTGGTTAGAGTAGAGTGAAGGCATGTTTATATGTTTCCAATAGACAGACTGAAGCCCCCAGGGTATCCTAAGCAGTTCATCTGAGAGCAAGGAATCGGTGTGAGAGTTCAGCCAACAATTACCCAAGAGCCATGTTTCATTTGGCTTGTGTTAGGACCGAAGACTGGATACAGAGTTGAAACGTGGCGAGGAGGCACTTTGAGACCGGAGTTCTGATCCAGCTCTACTGTGCACCCACTGTCTGAGCCTTGGTCACTCACTCAACCTCCCAACCTCAGTTTCTGCATCTGTAAAATGGACAGATGCCCTACATCTGTTATACATACGTTTTTTAATGCTAGGAAGAAGATCTGGGAGCATACTTACAAACCATGAAAAA